GGACAAGGTGGAAGAAACGAGAACAGAGGAGCGGAGAAGGCGATGGAGGAAAGGGTACAGAAGCTGGTGGGAACTTTTGTTGAGCGTGAGATTACTCCTTCATTTTTCACGTGTAAATGGGCGAACTAATATAGAGGTGGACAGATACGGTATTACTGAGCATCGTTGGCAGAATGTTTCTATTGTGGATGCTATTTTGAGATCCATACTGTGAATAAATATCATGGGTTTTTTTCAGGGTATTCCCGAGCCTAGAAATATTGGCGAATCCATGATAGCTAAGGAAGGAATCTGTATATTTTAACATTTAGAATACCTTTGCTGCAGAAGAGATGGGAAGCATTTGTCTTGGCATAACTTTACTTTTTACTTGTCTTGTGCACAGGTTCACTGGTATGGGAAAATGGTACACTGGCATTTGCTGGATGCTTGTTCGCTAGGCATGCATTTGTTCAGGAGGTGGCGGGTGATTTCATAGTCTTCATCCCTGTGGACAGCTTGAATACTAAACATGCATCCTTTTTGTTTAGAAGATATTTTGTTAACAACAACAATAATAATGTGTATATACTCACACTGAAATATATTCAAGGTCTGTGCGTTAGACTAAATCATGCATTGCTCAGGGCATATCACATTAAGCCATAAATTATGAGTGATAAGCCACAATTGCTAGAGTTGCACAATTCAACAAGCCACAAATAAAGTGCATTTAGGCTTAGTCCAGCCATAATATAAGTACAATGTCCAAGTCCTTTTTAATGCAACCCATGGGACTTAATATAGATTGAGCAAATTCCACGAATCCACTTCCTTTTGATTTTTAAGGTCCGGGCATTAAAAAACTATGGGCTACAGTTTCAGTGTAGAAGTCATTTAAAAGATTTTAACCTGAAATAAAACAACTAAAATTTGCCAGATTTATCTTTTAGCAGAGACATTAAATAGTTTGTCCTTTTTTTTTTGACTGAGCCAAAGAATAACTGATTATTCTTTGAATTTAGGCCTCAGATAAAAGTGCTCAAGGAAAAAAGCCTCCAAGCCATGTTAACTCTATACAGCGTGACAACCTTCCAGCAAAAGGATGTTCTGGATCCCATATACTGCAACTACAAGGGGTGATTTCATCTATGCTTATTAGCTCTGCACTAATTAGAGAGAATTGTACAATTAATGTAGAAGCATCCACAAATCACACCTCATGGTCTAGTATTTAGATTACTCTTTTGTGCTAGCTCAGATTGTGTGTGTTCAGAGACCTCTTCAGGCAGGAATTAGCATTGTACAATATCAATTCTTTTGATTGGCAAGCAATATGAAGATTCTGGATTGGCCACCACCTATAAATACAGGTAGTCCTCAACTTACAACAGTTCATTTAGTAACTATTCAAAGTTACAACAGCACAGAAAAAGGCACTTATGACCACTTTTCACACGGCCATTGCAGCATCCCTATGGTCACGTGATCAAAATACAGATGCTTGGCAACAGACTCGTGATGGTTGCGGTGTCCTGGGGTCATGTGATCACCTTTTGTGACCTTCTGATGAGCAAAGTCAATGGAAAAGCCTGATTCATTTAACAACTGTGTTACTAACAGCTGCAGCGAATCATTTAACAGCTGTGACAAGAAGGTTGCAAAATGGGGCAAAACTCACTTAACAAATGTCTCACTTAGCAATAGAAATGTTGGGCTCAGTTATGATCATAAGTCGAGGACTACCTATACCCATTTAGAGGTGGGTTCACACCAGATGCCAAGATCATGGTGTACAGAGTGGTTGTGCACGGACATTTCAACAGTCAAGCTTTTTAGCAGAGGGATTAGGAAATGTGGTTTAGGAGATTTTCCTTCTGCCAATGTTATAGCATTTTCTGTAGCTCTTTTTGATAATATCAAAGAGGGAACAGGGATTCAAATTCATGTACTTTTTGCTTCTTCCCAGATCATCAGTATGAAATGTGCTTTTTAGACTGCAGTGGTCAGTGAAATAGCAAGGGAAGCAGTGCTTCTAGGTTTAGTTTTTCATCTGAAACTTGAAAATCTTGTTATGATGTCGCCAATGTGATCGCCAGCGTCCGATAACGGATATGGCACAAAAAGAAGAAGAAGCTAGAAAAGGAGGATTCGTTTAAATATCTTACTCACCAAGGAAACCATGAATCCTCTTCTGAAAAAGATCTTGGGGATGGTATTCCCCTATCTACTACTGCATGGCCTGTGTTTTAATATAATATTATTAACTAATGTACATTCAAGGTAAAAATGAACTATAGGAAATTCTTTCCCTTAATCCTCCATGAAATGAGCATATCTAAAGTTGCTAGTTATTGGAAATGGAAGGTTTTCTTATACATTGGCTGGCTTCGTGTGTCAAGATAAGCCACAAACAAACCACACAATGGCTTAGCCCAATGTTTGAGTGTTGTTTCTTTCCTCCAGTATGTATAAACAAAACAAACAGAAACACAGACGATCAGAATACAGTAAAAATATTGGATATATTAATATAAAGGTTGCTAATAAATGAAACAGTATAATTTTCCATATTTCTGATTTCTAATGAATATGCCCCCATCAAACAAGTTTTAGTCTAAGGGCTGTTCTTCTTATCCCCTCATTTATGACATCAACATGCCTCAGTAACTATCCCTGTGCCTTTGTCCCCTTTCAGCCCAGAGCTCCGATCAGCTTTACATCATATTTAGGCATTCCATTTTTAGAGTAATGTTATCCTTCTTCTTCCAAAATTCCTGTGAGCACAATTTAGCACATTTTACTTTTGTGGCTGATGATAATGGATTAGAGTTGAGATTTACCAAACTCTTATTGGACATTCAAGCTGCTTCAAACCCTATTAAGCATTATGCAATGTGGTGGTTTTACTTGGCTTTGGAAGATGTATCTGTCCGCCTAATGCTTGAGAAGCATTTACTAAAGCTCTTGTCAGAATTTTTCTTATATACATAGGTTTAATGTTCTTTTGAAAGATCTCTAGATCTGTGATTAAAGAACAGGAATAGTATTTTCAAAAGAGCATTAATTCTGTTAAAATTCAGTTTAAAGCAGAAAAGAGAACTTGTTTCTGCCAACTGCATTGGGTACATATTTTCCACTGTTTCAACAAAGGGTTTGGCATAACAATACTTTTTACTGCTATTTTAAATTTGGTGAGGTGAGCATTGCCACTTTGCTAACACCATCGGTTACTTACAGTTGCTGCTGGCAGTGGCCATATTGCCACATCCTTAAAATCCCATGCACAGCGCTTGTTCTTCATCACTCCTTCCCACTTCACCTTCCTCCTTCTTTCATGCCTGTGACCTGTCAGCCAGGCTATTTTGGCACATGAGTTTAGCATTCTTTCAGAAAAGCACTAGACCTTTGTTCAGAAGACACCCAAATGATAGGTAGATGCATATTATTTCTGAAAGGCTTGATCCATTAGTTGGGCAACTTGGCATGTGATTAAACTAGTCATTCTAAGCATCCTTCTGTGTTTTCCATTCACTGCACATTAAGGAGAGCCTCCAACAGTCATATTGGCTGGAAACTTTTTGAAACACCATTCCAGCATATTTGAAAGGCACCAATTTGGGGAAGACGCCTATATAGAAAGATATTTGTTGTTCATTCAGGAACATAGTGAAATACCTATAGTTCTCCCTGGTAAACCAGAGTTATCAGATTTGGCCTGTGATACAAAACATCCCAGTTGCTAGAATAATGAAAAAGGGGCATTTGTTACACTGAAATAATCCATACAGCTGAAATGATCATTAGTACCATAAGACAAAAAAAAAAAAAAAAAAGAATTAAAGCAAAACCTCTTTGCTGGACAAAACTGGAGGACTTATTTTCTCAGAGATCTATATTTCAGCACAAAGCTAAGTGATGTGCTCACGGGGTCAAACATATATATGTAGAAAATTCTTTTTATTTATATACAGATATTGGGAAGTGGGGATTTTAATACAGTAGCAGCATATATTTATGTGCCAAACAATAAAAATTGTTATGTGTGATTGGGAGCCACCTAGAGTTCAATATAAGATGAGCAGCTATATAAGTGCTTTAAATAAATAAATAAATAAATACAAGTGCCATATTTATGTGACAAGTCAATTATTAGAATTTATTTATTTAATTATATGGATATCTGGCCTTTATTACTTTATAAGTAATTCAAGATAGTGAGAATAGATAATACTCCTATTTTTCCCACGACAACCTTGTGAGGTACATTGGGTTGAGAGAGAGTGACCGGCCTCAGTCATTCTTAAAGTCAGAGGAATATTCACAGCCTCCTAGTTTCTAAGCCAGCACCTTCACCATTATGCCAAACTGGCTGTTGAAGTTAAATGTCTAAATTTGAGACACGTGTAATACAATAAACTAGAATACCAGTAATACCCTAAAGTAAGTTTTCGTTTACCTCCATTCCTGAAAATGGAAGTACAGGAATAATGCTTAAAAGCAGTGTTTCTCAAACTCAGCAACATTAAGTGGACTTCAACTCCCAGAATTCCATAGCCAGCATATTTATTTAAGGCGGCACATGTTAAAGTTGCTGAGATTGTGAAACACTGCTTAAAAAGAGGAGGGGGTGGGGACTATGCTCCATTAGTAAACAAGCCAAAGCACAAATGTGACTAAATAATAATAAGTGGTGGGAGTTTCCTGTACACGTACTCCAGAAATCCACATATTGGGACGAAAATACCATAATAACAGCTGCTAAGAACATAATCTAAATTACAGAATAATGTTTTGGGAAAAGAAATTGAAAGACTAAAGCCAGATACTTTGGCTGTCCCCTTTACATAGATGATTAGCAAATCTGGCAGTTGCTAGAGCAGTATGCTTGTTGCATCTTGGCAATTTAGTACTATGTGGAATCCTGTGGCTATTATCTTCTGATGGATACATGACATTGGTTCAAAGTAAATCCTGAACCACAACGTCTTCTGATAAGGACACTCAGACGTATGAAAAAATAGCTTTTAAAATTTTATTTTCCATAGAAATCATGTTAAAAGATTTACAGACTATTCATTTAATAGGCCATATTATTGTTCACCAACACTCAGCAAACTGCTGCCCCTTCCTTATATCTATGATGAAGAGTTCTCTCTATTGTGCTCAAAGCCAAGCAAACATATTTCATGACAAGTAAGTGGAAAGGCAGGAGAGATATGAACTTAACATCTGTGCTTATAAATGTGTTTTGTCCAACCACACCATCTTGCACTTCATTCTCATCTTGTGCTACAGACAGCTGTGCAATATAGCTCTTAAAAGCATATATAAACATGTTTTGTTCTCTTTCATGCTTACATCACTGCAGTGGTGCCCCCATTTTCTGTGATTCTACTTTCTTATTTATTGTCCATCTCTGGCTAAATTTCTTACTTGTCTCGAAATACCTGTGCTACTGTCCAATTTGCATTGCTAATCTGCCTTCCCTAATAAGATTCTCAGGACCAGTTTGGAAGCATGGGTGGGCATGTCTGTCTTTAGGTTAAGAGGGGAACAGAGCTTGGAGATGGGAACCCACTTTGTGTGAAAATAAAATCAAACTTAATCCAGACCAAATTTTAAATGGATCAGGCAACTCTGATGGGAGAAGCCTTTCACTGCTAAGGCTTCTGGAGAGCAGATGTGAGTCAAACAATAACACTGGGCCAGATGGTCAAATAACCTGATCTGATATAAGTCAGCTCCTTGTATATTCTGTTCTTAGAACTGGAAAAGTAGATCATGAATTTAGTCAGTGGCTGTAACAAATACTATTCTTTGGAACAAGCAGGGGCAAAATGCAATTTTACCAATGAATATTTCAAGCTAGCCATTCCTGTTTTTTATACTGCATGCCAATTAAAGGAGACAACTTGTAATATCCCTATTCTTTCTGCACCTGAATAAATGTTTGAGCTTGCATAATCCAGGGCAGTTTCCCCAAACTGAATCTCTGTTTTGAGCTATAAGATTTCTTACTCCAGCTTAGAGTTCCTAGTATATGAATTAGTCTGGTACAATCAATCATCTTTATCTTCAAATAAAAACAATTTTCATTTATCCTCAATATAATCCTTGCAAATCACATGTTGATAGAAAAGACAGTTATAAAAAACTCATTCATAAAATGAATGGAAGAGGAAAAAAATGGGGGGAGGAAATCTGTGCAAATTAGCAGTTCACTTTCACATTATCTAGTGATAACAGTCCTAATATGCGCATTTGCAATTTTAGATTTTAATTTTTCAACCAAAACATTCTGCAATATTCTTTTCTGCACACCTGACTCTCACATACAGCCTGTTCATACTGCAGATTCATATCCAGCATGCATTAATTGTCCGCTTCAAAGTCCTTGCTTTGGCTGTCATGCAGGCATGTGCATAGTGTCTTTTGTATAGATGAAGGAGACCAATAGGTATCTCAAGAATATTTATCCTGCTGTTGAAAACTCAGGTTGGCCGAGTCAAATTGACACTATTCCTGAAGAAAAAGAAAGATATGGTAATTGAAGAAAAAGTAATCCATGGAAACAAGTGAATGAAGAAAAAACTAGCTGGATTAAAATATTCCTGAGAAAATGAATAAGGGAAAGATTAAGATCATGTTTTGGGAAGAACTGCCATCCTCTTCTATATTAAGAATGATGGGAAATTGTACTGTTAAAATGCAAGTTTTAACACTAAGGGCCAAGTTCTACTTTTCACTTCTTTTCTTTGCAGCCAAGGATGAAACTTAGCACAAATGATTGTAACATATAGTATTTCCTTAAGAGAAAATATGTTCTTTTTCCACTGGGCTAACTTCCATTGGATTGTTGAGAAACCCTAACAACCTTACTTACTTGCAAGAAAATGCAAATAAACCACTATAGATGCTACAGTATACCTGCAATTTAAGTAGGGGGCTCCATGGTATAAAGCAGGGGTGGGGAATGATGGCCCTTTTATGACTTGTGGACTTCAATTACCAGAATTCCTGAGCCATGAGTTAAAGTCCACAAGTCATAAGGGGGCCATCGTTCCCCACCTCTGGTATAAAGAAATAAAAGATTTTCAGCTACTCCAGTGCTCTACTAAGCATATGAAATAAATCTGGATAGTTATAGCCCGTACTTGAATTAATCCATTGAAATAGCTTATCAGTGACACACTGAACTACTGCTGAATAGCATTTACCACTGCAGAGGTTTTGCAAATGTTAAGTCAAATTCTACTTGCCTATAATGTCCCTGAAGGGTTGGGGATTGTTTCTGAAATAGCAGAGGACAAATCTGTTTCATCTTCTTCATGACAATCTATCAAGTATTGCTATCATATTCAATTTTAATATTTGAAGATTCAACACAATTCTTCCAACAAATCTTTACACAGAAGGACTTCCAGGATTTTTACCACCTGATTCACCATCCTCGGGGTATGATCTAATTCCTTGATGACCTTCCAAAAAATATGGTAACCAAGTTTAAACACAACACTAGGTAAAGTTCAGCCAGTGCTAAATAGGATGAAACTGTTCATGCTATTTTTAACAGCTGTATCATACAGCTGGCTCATCTTAATCTTTGACCTACTGACACATCTAAATCCTTGGCCAAGCCAATGTTTCATTCAATCCTTGCCCTTTTACTTTTGTTTATCTACAATTATACTTTACATTTATTTCAATTGGTTGGATATATGTATCTCACTTGTAGGTATTTGCCCACATTTTCAGCCTTTCATGAATGGATTTGTAATCTGATTATATCCCATGGTGTCAGCTTTCCATTCCAGCTTTGTCACAACTCTTTATGGATGAAGGTGGAGTCAAGATAATACTTTCCTTTTGTGTCATCTCCATTATCACATGACATTTCATAAGGAGCTGGCCTATCTGAACCTTCCTTCTGTTTTCCTCTTGATCCAAACATAAACAAAAAGCTCTTTCTGGTGCTTTTAGTATCCTTCACAAGCCTTATTTCATTCTGAACCTTACTTTTCTATCTCATCCTTATAGGAGCAATCACCTATATAATCTTTTGTAAAAAAATAAAATAAAATAAAATAATAAAATAAGCTCTCACTCTCAGCTCTTCAACGAACTTGTGAAGCCAGATTCCATTTTTCCTTCTCAGTGGAACAATTTGCAATTCATCTTCAATGATATTCCAATTCTTGCTGAACTCTACTACCTTTGCAACTTTTTTTGAGTTTTTTAAGATTGTCATTCTTAAAGGTCAAGTACATATCCAACTATACACATCCCTTACTACCACAAATTCCAAAATTACAACACAGCCACCATCCTTCCCAATGTTTGTAACACTGTCTCTTCATCAGCATTCCCCATTGATCAGAACTAAAATCGAGGATATGAGGTTCTTTTTTTCCGTCCTTTATTTTCTGAGTGACAGAGAGACCAGGAAGTCAGGATTTTACTGAGATGTTCCAGACTTAGCAGACTTCCAGATGTTGAGGATGTTCAAAATTCCCTATTAATACAATAACTGTCTCTGTGAAAGTTTTGTAACTGCTTCAGAAAAATACAGTATAATGTGTGCTTTCTGTTGGCTTGGCAGCCTGTCCTATATTGCTACTTTGATAGAACTTTTCTCTTCCTTTTCTTCCTATCCTCATCTATAGGCTTTCATCATAGCTTCCAATCTCAGATTCATGGATTTATCTGGAGGTTTCAGAAGTCACACATATACAACTTCTCTCTCCCTTTCTTTTTCCCTCATCTGTTCCTTTTGAGCAAGATATACCCTTTGACTGCAATAAAGTCATCAATACCTTTTGAGCAAGATATACCCTTTGACTGCAATAAAGTCATCAAGATGTTGAACCATCTTCAAGACTAGCCTTTATAACTACAGGGATTATTGGTTCCCTTTCAGTACCGGCAATACTCTGATACAGCATATTCTTAATATAGTGCCAGCCTCATATATATCAGATTTCAACAGTAGTCATGTTCCTGGAGAGAAAGATCCAAATTTAAGAATTAAGAATTATTAATGATTCCCTTCTTCTTCATAACTACTATTTATATTGTACTTACCACAACATGCATGCTGCATGGAAGTTCTGAAGGTTATAGAGCAACACAGTTGAAGACACATGATTGGAAAATAATAATAATAATAATAACAACAACAACAACAACAACTGCTCTGGGTCTTCAGAATTCAAACAGACAAGTACCTGCAACATAACACCCCAGACTTAACAATTGTCGATAAGGACAAAAAAGACTGGATAGTGGACGTGGCAGTGCCTGGAGACAGCAGAATAGAAGAGAAAGAACTGGAGAAGATAACAAAATACAAAGACCTACAAATAAAAATAGAAAGACTGTGGCAAAAGCAAGCAAGGGTAGTACCAATAGTCATAGGCGCCTTGGGTGCAATCCCAAAACAACTGGAGTACCACTTGAACACCGTTGGCATTGACAAATTCGCTATTAGTCAATTGCAAAAGGCGGCCTTACTAGGAACTGCTTCCATCCTGCGACAATATCTGTAATACCATCAGACATCCACATCTGCCTATCCCAGGTCCTGGGTAAGGACCCGATAGGTGGACAAAATGCCAAATCCAGTCTGAACATCTGGCTGACTGTGCGATGATCAATAATAATAATAATGATGATGATAAAGTTGGAAGGGACCTTGGAGGTCATTTAGTCCAATCCCCTGCTCAGGCAGGAAACCCTATACCATTTCGGATAAATGGCTGTCCAGTTTCTTCTTAAAAACTTCCAGATTGAACTACTCTAATTAAATCTGCTTAACACTTCTGCACTTCATTTCCGGACCATTAAAGTTTGAATATCTGGGGGGATTACTATTGTACTAAGGTCTTCCTGTTATCTTCATTTTGCTTTACATCTACTCCTTATCTGGCTCTAGTGCCTCCAGTGTTGCTGACCCTGAGCTGATCTGGTACTGGTGGCAGCAGCAAATACTACAAGTTATGTACAGTATTTACAATATGTGCAATATTATGTGCAATACAATGTTCTTTTCGTGTATGCTTATGTATGTGTGTATATCCACAGCCATACAATTTTTTCAACTTTCAATTTAGCAGCCAGAGCCAATGAAAGATGAAAGTTACATTTTGTGTTGCCATTTCATACTATGGTAACTGCTTGGCATTCATGTCACTTTTAATCACATCACATTTGTTTTCTACTTGCAAGGAGCTCTGGGTAGTGTATATAGATTTCTCCAATGATCCTAGGTGGTAAATTCTGAAAAGTTTTTTGGTGCTGAAAAATAGCAAATTCTTCTGGGCTTTAGGTTTGTGGGACTCTGACAGAATCCATGACTCACAAATAGTGCAGAAACTGAAACTGGAGCAAGAAGCTACATGTTAATGGATCAAAGCAGAATTGCTAATGAGCAGAAACGGAGGGTATTATACACCCATTGCCTGGACTTGGGAGTGGGAGGAATTGGTAATTTTAAAACTATTCTTTCTTTCTGACTGAAGTAGAATGAATGAATCTAATCTATCCTGAGGAGAATGATATAACATTTTCTTCTGCTAGTTCCCTAGAGACAGAGAAGGGAAAGGAAACCTGTGCCTTCACCCCTATTCAAATGCATTTTTTGATGCTGCTAAATTACAACTCCCATCAGCGGCAGCCAGCAGAGGTGGGGACGAAGATTCCTGGAAGTTCAACATCTGCAGTTTCCCACCCCCGCATTGGTGGCTAACATGAGCTCTGTTGGTGATTCTGTACTTCCTGTCAACTCCAGTACTGCCTTTCCTCTTGAGAACAAAGGCCTTTGGTCTGTTGCAGGTTCATGCAGATTTTCCATGGGAATAAGGCTTTCTGCATAATCCAATGCTCCTTCCTTGAAAAAAGTTTTCCAAGGTTCAATTCAGATAGGATCCTGATCTTCATTTTACACTCTCTTTAGGCAGCCTGATTCTCAAACCTTGCTCTGCCTCTATATCCAGTTCCCAATCCCTAGATAATGTTAGAATTTTGAGGTAGGTAGGATCCCAATGATAATTCTACCTGTTGTATGGTGGGGGTGGTGCGTCGTGTACTCCTGGAGCAGCCATTGCTTGCTCATAAGAAGGAAGCCCAGGTGCAGATTCCGGCTTGGGCTCATCATCAAAGTTGGCAAGGGGAATCCCTGGATTCAAATTTTCCTGTGTTCTTCTAAAAGGAAATGGAGACAGAGGTCAAAAAAGCTAAAACAATTCACAGGGTTTTTGTCTGTAAGCCTCACTTAATCAAAACAAAAAATTAGCAAACTTTTCATCAGCTTTTGGAAAGCAAATGAGGTGTTTGGAAATTAAGGGAATTTTAGTCCAATAAATCACATTACAGGAAAAAAGTTGAAAAAAACTATCAATGTCAAAAAATCATTTCATATAATATCCATGAAAGATGTATGCCGAATAGCGATAATGGAAACTGTAGTTCAACAATGTATTTTTAAGAACTGTGTAAAAACATCAACTTCAAAAAGAGAAAAAGACTTTGGAAAATATGCACACAGCTAAAAATTATCAGATTTATAATTTAATTCCTCTAAAGGTTAGCAGTTTGCAGAAGGCTGATATAAATCCCCATAATATGTTGTTGTTTTTCACTGATGTAACTGTTAATCCTGAATCGAATGCTTTTGACCTCATGTTTTCTTGGTGACAAATTGCTAGAATTATTTTCCCCTTTCACTCCCTTTATTACATAGCTGGGCACAAAACTTCTCACTGTGGATCTTGACACATACCTGGATCGATTTCTCTCTTTAGCACGGTATTTGATACAATACAGGGCCACAATTATAAACATGACAATAGACACCAAAGCTGCAATCAGGCCAGCCACCAGGCCTGCCACATCTACTCCAGGATTTCCTATGAAAACAGGTAGACAGGGTTACTGGGCTCTTGTTGCTTAAAACAACAGGAGATCCTAATTCTAACATCCATGCTACATTAGGTCTTGACTCCTGGAACTGGGGAACAAGGTCTGGATCACAGGATATTGGAATGAACTGGAACAGTGCTGTGTTAGAAGCTTTAGCTCCAATTCAAATTTGTCAGGACAGGACTGGATATAAGGATAGCTCAAGGATATGTCCTCCCTACTCTTTGAGATCCCCCTTTAATCATGTTGCCAAATTTCAGATGCACCAGTGTTGAGAATCAGCAATATTGGTTTTCTTGGTCTGGGATGGGAAACACATGGAAACTAGAATATATGTCCTAAAATATCTTTAAACTGGTTTAAAGTACCCTGGAGAAATGGAGAATTTTGGCTCAGCTATTCTAAATGATGCTGTCTCATCCACTTTCCTCCCTACCTATCAATGCAGTTTTCTCTCCTGAAAAAATGTGTAGTCCCCAATCATCAAAATGATACCCACCCAACGTTAATAATAAGTAATAATGATAATCACTGAGAATTCCCAAAAAGTTGTTATCTTGCAACTTGCAATAATTATAGTCTGAATAGGTTAATCTAGTGATAAATATATGGCATGAAATGAGATGAATAGATTACATATATCAACATACAGCTTTATGGTGAATTACTTGATTAAGTAGGAGAAAGTTCTATCAGCACATCTTTGTAGAAAGGATAAAATGTGATAGGGCAAGCTGTTTCCCCATTACAGTCGAATATAAGGAGTCTTTAGAACAGCATTGACCAACCTTTGTTTTTTTCATGTCTTGAGGCTGAAGAATCATTCAGAGGCATTTGGAGAATGGAGGGTAGAGGAACATTTTCATTCTACTGAGGCTACTTCTTAACTTGTAATTTATAGATTTACCCAGCCATTGTTGTAGCTATATAAAGCCTCTCTTCTTTGTTGATATTTCTGAGCACAGCAATGGTTGGGTGATGCTAGAAACCACTACAATAAAGCCATCATATATAATCTTATAGTCTTTCCCCATTAGCATCTAACCTAGTACAAACACCTGTGGCAACATTTTTGTGTTGCCATGTTCCTATGATGCTGGTTTCATCTTGTCTTTAGACCATGAAGGCTAATGACTTAACTATCAGAGTTAAAGCAAAGTATTCCTGCTTAAGCTGCCACTAACCAATAGCAGCTTTTAATGGAATCTGAGAATGACCTTGGGAAATAGGAGGAAATACTTCTGACATTTGCATGTAAAAGATTTCTCAGTCCACAGAAGGAGAAGAGGCACTGAAAGAATTTCAGAAAGAACCCTCTGTAGTTTTCTGGAGAGCAATAGGGAGAAGAGGAGAAATATTTTGTGCAAGATTTTGTTAATGTAGCCTTACAATAAAATAGCGTTAGTATTAATAGTTGCATTTCTTGTCTGGACTACCTCTAAGGGCTAACAGAGCTTTAGAACTTTCTTCTTATTGTTGTGCCATCGGACGTTGGCGATCATGTTGGCGATCCTGTTTTTATCAGCAGCCGCACAAAAAAGTGCTGCTGAGTTTTGTCCAAACCAGTCCCTTAGATTTTGAAGCCACGAAGTTCTTCTTCTGCCTGGACCTCGTTTGCCTTCAATCTTTCCCTGGAGGACTAAATGGAGTATGCCGTATTTTTCTGGGTGTCACATCACATGTCCGAAATATTCTAATTTTTGTTTTTTAATTGTTTTGATGATTTCCCTTGGCTTTCCCAGGCGGCTTATCTCCTCCTCATTTCTGATCTTGTCAACCCAGCTTATAAGTAACAGCTGCCTGTAAATCCACATTTCAAATGCTTCTAGTCTCTTCAGGTGGCCTTCTGTCAGAGACCAACTCTCTACTCCATAGAGCAGGATAGAAAAAATACAGCATCTGACAAGCCTGATTTTCAGTCTTAGAACTGGCATCTCCAAACTGTCATCTTTAAGACTTGTGGACTTCAATTCCCAGAATTCCTCAGGCAGCCATGCTTACAGTCTTAGAGTTGCCAAGTTTGGAGACCCCTGCTTTAGAACATGGCAAAAACTCTTAGGCCTTGGAGCTTATTTCTTCAAAAGGAAGGCAGGTGGCTGCAGTGACTTGCAGCAGAGGCAGCAAAAGGATCAATAATGGGGCAGCAAATGTCTTATTACAGTTTTCTCCTCAGTGAAGGATGTGGGGACAGCATTACCTCAGGAAACTGGAAAGATCTTTTGTCACCTAACATTGAAGGGGCAGAATGCCCAGCCTTATTACTATTATATGCACAGTAGTGGTTGGACTTGGAAGATTCTAGAAGTCCCTAAAAATTATTAGTTGGGTTCCTGTCTATAAAAGTGACACTTGATTCAGGAAGGATAGTGGAAAACACAAATACATGGAACTCCCCATTGCTGTTTTGTATCCTTACTCACTTGCTCCTCCTCTTCCATTGTGTGGATAGGTCTCCCAAAATTTTTTCTGGAAGGGATATCAAGATAGGGGGATAATGTTAATATGACATTAATAAAAGTCATTATTTGTTTGTTTTATCTCATGTTCTCTGACTCTAAATGACTTACTTGATAGTTTCAAAAACAAAAGAAAACAAAAGTCATTTTTATTGTCTTCTGCTGTAGAAGGTAATCATTATCTTCCACAAATGTCCTTGGGCTCTTTGCTTAAAGTTTTTCCTCCTACTGGTATATGTGAGATAGCAGAAACTAAACCAGCCTAGGTTTTGCTCTCCTCACTGCCAATCCCAACTGCCTGGGCTCTGACTTGAAGGAGAAACTGCTGTGCTTTTGACAGATGGTCAGACCCATGAGTTCAGCATTCTGTCAACCCCAACCCTTCACCTGCCACTTCACCCAGCTGGGGAAGGTTGACACTGCAAGAAGAGACAGATAATGCAGGAGAGGAGGACCACTATGTAGCCTCACATCTCAGAGCCAAAGCCTGAGTTGGAGACCTGGATCAACCTGAACATCTGACAGTCCAAATAGCAGTTCATAAGTTGAAGGATGGGATTTGCATAAGATCTTTCTCTCTCTATGCTGGATAGATTCCCTACTGCTATTGCTGGTCAACTGCTGTTTGCATTGATCCAGGCCCTCCAGGAACAAAATAAAGCCTGATTCCCACTGTGCAAAACGCAACAACACCCAGGGACCAGAGGGAGAGGAGAGGCTCATAGGAGACTAAAGCAACCAATATGTACTGAGCAGATCCAATTGCCTACAAGTCACCCGATAAAATGATGAATAAAGCATGTTCTATTATGCTCATAATATAATTTTGTACAATAGCTTCCTGGTTGTTAAAGGGGAAAAACATAGCGTTAGCTCCAAAACATCAAATTAAATGTTGAAGGGCTTATTTGCCTGTAGTGATACTATTTGGGCACCAGGATCTAGCCAACTTTCACAAATGAAGGCAAATATAGCTGTCCCAGAATAATATTGCAGGATCCAATCCAGGATGGTCACGAGGACCAGAAGTTTAGTCTTCCGAGCTTTCGGACTCTTGCTAGAGCCCATCTCAGGGAACTTCTCTCTACTGGAATGTGCAACTACCTATTAAATATTGAACACTGTCCCAAAATGACAATGTCAGAAGCACATAGAAAATTAAAATGGTATTGGGGAGGATCAGCAGCATGGTTGGTCAGCTGTTCAAAAAGACCAAGTGCTGACCACACCTCTATTTTAGCACAGTAGTAAATTGCTATACTGTGATCCCATTGGACCAGATTTCTCAGGAATCCTGACTCGAATCTAATACTTGTAATCCATAAGAAATACACTAGAGGGCACCATCCTATAAGAAAAGAAAACCTGCAACATTCAATAACTACAGTAATCAGTTTATAATAAACTCACAAATGTTTGAAAAGCAAATATTTTACTGTTTGGTTAAAAAGCTGGTCATTTTTTTAAAAAAGCAACGAATAAATACAAATACACAAAGAGGCATTCTTTCTCCAACTAGCTGCTGAAAACTATTCTAGATTATATACAGTAAATTATTTTGTGGGATATGATAAGATATATAAATTGTACTTATTACTATAAATATGCAGACTGGAAGATTTGTTTGATAATGCAATCTTATCCAGTTCCATGTCTTGTAAATGTGAGAGTTAAACTTTCATCATCCATAAATTAATTATATGCAGGGATTATGGAATAAATTACTTGACAGACATGAAAGACTGCATAAGATATTGTATTGCTGTATCTTAATGAGTTGTTCAGGTGATAAATACAAATCAAGTACAAGCCTGCTTAGCTTTCCTGACTATACATGAACATGAAGGCACTACAGAAATATATGTCATGTCTGCAAAAATGAAACTTTCAATAGAATTTCCATGCTCTTTATAAATAATACTCAGCATATGGAAGAGTTGTATGTGTTCCTGTATTGTTGGAAATACTTTCCTCCATAACAACCCTATGAGGTGGGTTGGGCTAAGAGAGAATGACTGGCCCAAAGTCAACCAGCTGACTTTCATGCCTAAGGCAGGCCTAGAGCTCACAAGCTTCTGGTTTGTAGGCTAGCAACTTAATCACTACATCAAAGTGGCTAGAGGCATCAACAGTATTATTTATTGATTTTTTTTTGTTTATATTATATGCTTCCCATCTTATTCTGCAAAACAACTCTGGGTGGCTTGTTATAAAAATGGAATGAATGAATGAATGAATGAATGAATGCAAGGAAGGAAGGAAGGAAGGAAGGAAGGAAGGAAGGAAGGAAGGAAGGAAGGAAGGAAGGAAGGTTGAAGCTGTAACACACAACTGCAAGTTTGTTTCTTTTTATTATTATTTTAAATCTATTCTAAAACCTGTTTTATATCTCATATTTGTTTTCATATGTGTTCTGCCAAGCTGCAGTTCAGATTCAAGAAAAATGGGGGTGGAGAAGCATTTTGCATGTGACCGATTGGTTCTATAGCTGTGCCTTAAAAACTATTAGATTTAATAGAGCTAATTCCCTTGGATACATAAATCATTATCTTCAACAGATAAGGCTCATTATTATAGAAAAAATGGCAGTAATATGACAATTCAGTTGAGATCTGACAATTCAATTAAAATTTAAATGAAAAACTATAATGATCATAATAATCATAGAGAATACCTAACCATCTTAACATTCTTAAATTGACATATGTACTGGGGCAGGAACCTTAACCTCTATTGCCACAAAAGTCTAATGTGGTTACTGGCCCAGCACTATTCAAGAGTCCCATAACTAAACCAATGCTTCATTCACAAAAAATAATGGGAAATATCATGTTGCTAACGAATTACCTACTATAATTTAAATTTCTTAAATGTTTTATCTATTAACCAGGAGTATGATTGTTAACCAGTTGCACTTTGCTTTTGAAAACAGGTTAGCAGAAAATAAATTTTACTAAGTTAAAAACTGAACACTACAAAGCAATCAGTATGACATTCGTTACTGTTTTATTCATATTTACAAAGATAATGTCCTCAAAATGAATTCTATTCTGCATGTCTATCTGTGTGTCTGACTGCCTACCTGCCTATGTTAAATTTGTGTGTCACCCATCTCTTTTAGAGGTGACTCCGGGTGGCTTACAAACATTAACCTTACAAAGTTAGTATCAAACTAGAAATTAAAGTAAACAAATACATTAACTTCAAATAATTTTTATTGGATGCATCTAACTCTTTAGGGACCAATAAGAATGCATTCAAATCCATATTTGCATGCACTGGAATTTCCCTGAAGACTAAAATGGCCTGAAAAATTGGCCTTGAAAGAGTCAGAGTTAGTTAATTTGAGTCAAATTATATACTATCAGTCACTGTCCCTAGAAAATTTCCTTTGTTCATTTCCCATCAGACTGTATAAATATAAGCCCCCTGCAGGCTGGGGAAGACTGACTGAGAATATCCTTTATTAGGTTAAATGGTATGTCTCCACAAATACCAGTTTGTAAAACCATAGAGAGATTTGAAGGGAAGATAAGAGGAAAATAGAGTACCATACATAGGCATGAATCAAAAACTCCCAATATAGCAGCTTTTTTAGTTAAAGAAGAGATTGATGGATTGTACATTTTCCACTAGGAAGAGTAATCTAATAACTAAGTCCACACTTTATGTTAAACTATAACGTGGCTTGCTTAATAAAGAGTTCCTGGGATGGGTGAAACCATTAGCTGTGTTTTGTGAAACTCTGTTTATTTATCTCTTACTTTATAGATGAATTATCAACCTGTTAAAATAAAATAAATAAAATCCAGATATGCAGACAGCATGCTAGAAACCTCAAAAAATTCAGGTCAAATTGTTCTCCTTGTATGCTGACACAAATGACCTGATTCACGCAAAATAATCTGGGACTTTAAGTGTAATTTGTTTCTCTGCTAACCATTTCAAACAGTTGCTGGTTTCACTTCCCACTTTTTCAGGTCAGAGATTCCCTGACATAGTTTAGGAACAATGAATCAAGGTCTCAATTGAGACCTTGCTTGTGGCTTACACAATGAATCTAGCTCTTCTGAACTTTCCACAAAAATCTGACAAGGAGAACTGATTTAATCAACTAAATCAGGGGTCCCCAACCCCCTGCCCACGGCCCTTTGCTGAGCGACAGCCCATTTGTTGGGGAGCGTATGGGCGTGTGGTGCATGTGCAGGTAGCTGCATTTGTGAAAGTGACATGCGCACACATGCAAAACCATCCTACCATCACCATCTCCAGCAGTCCACTGAGCTGGAAACCGGGAATGCTGAACTAAGTTACTTTACAACTTAGGAACTTTCGGGAAGCCAGCAATAGTGATAAACTGTGGTTAATCATCTCTCTATGCACCAACTGGTTTATTCTCTATTATCATACAATCAGAAAGAAGAGTTGAAACCTCTTTGTTAAAGGAACAGAAATTTACAATGTAATCTGAACCTGACAGAGCATAGTAATCTTTAAATATGGACTATCTGAAATGGCCAACTGTAAAAAGCTACAAGTCCTGAAGCTGGCTTATTTCAACAAAGCACAGTAATGATTAACCTATATTGAAGGGTCAAATGACAAAGTGCTAAGTGCTATTAATCTGAAATGCATGTAGAATTTCCCAATTTTTCTTTACATTCAAGCCCAAGAAAAGGAAAGAGTATTGAACCTAATTTTTATAATCCTAAACCATGATCTAGTATTTTGCCTGAATATGACCGATCACATGATTGTTACATCTTACACAATGCTATATTCAATACAAATGAAGGCGAATATATGTGTCCTGGGTCAGTCACAGGACCAGTGGTTTTGTCTTCTGAGCTTTCGGACTTGTACTAGTGCCCCTCTTCAGGGAACCTCTCTCTAGCAGAGTGTGTGCTTTGAGCTGTTCTGTGTGTGGTATTTATATGGTGCCTGTTGCATGTGGCTTTTTAGATGTTGATTGGGGTGTTTATGGTTGGCTATTAAGTCCTTAGCTGTTGTTTGCTTCTGCTGTCAAGCCCTCACCTCCTAAGTATTTGATAAGCTGGTGGTAAATCAGCACTCCTGTTCAACAGGATACTCAACAGGATACATTGAACAGAATTTGGGTATTGAATATTAGCATATTCAATATCCAAATTCTCTCCTATAAATATTACTTTCTGCTCAGCCGATCCATGGAATAGAGAAAAAACTTTAAATCTGATATTTGAAATCTGATATCTGAAACTTGATGATGATGTTACCTAGTTTGGTAATGAGGCATCTGCCAGAAAACCACCAAACTCATGTAAATGTAAGAAGCCAAAAGAATTACTGTTCAATTCAGACATCTCATTTAATCATGATTATGTTCATTATGGCTTAGAATGATTTGTCTACTATCATATTTCATTTTCTCACTATTCAGCTTTATAAGTTCATAATTCAAAACTATTGTGCAACACACAGCAGTTAGAACAATTAACAAGTAGAACAACCTGCCTCCAGAAGCAGTGAATGCTCCAACACTAGAAGTTTTTAAGAAGAGACTGGACAGCCATTTGTCCAAAATGGTATAAGGTTTCCTGCCTGAGCAGGGGGTTGGACTAGACGACCTCCAAGGTCCCTTCCAACTTTATTATTATTATTATTATTATTATTATTATTATTATTATTATTATTATTATTACCTTAGGGCAGAGGTGTCAAACTGGTGGCCTGCAGACCGGATGCATCATGCGCAGGCCACGCTCACCCCAGCTCCGCAAAGGCAAAAAACATCGTGATACGTCACGATACATCCTGTGATGTGATCGAATTTGACACCCGTGCCTTAGGGTAACAGAAGAGGCTAAGATGGTCATTTCTTCAACTTTACAAAGAATTTTCCTCCATTTGAAAACCTGCATTCTTTAATGGACTCTCCAATTTAAAAATAAAAAAGAGGAGAAAAACAAAGAGCATAAAAATATCTAACAACAGGACAGCAAAGAAATAGATCGATGGTTACTCTCTTTCTTTTAATACAAGGTATGTTACATTTCCTTTACATTTATCATTATTTATACATCCTTTAGAAAAATGCTCCAGCCAAGCTCAGGTCAACCCCAACCTTACTACAGTTCAGGAAAATCATACTGAGAGTTCCCTCAGTGAAGGGAACATTTATTGTTAGTAATGTTTGCCTTGGTGTGTCAGTAGCTAGGTGTCAATTGGTTGGGGAGTTTAATTAGTTTAATACTTTCTATTTTACTGTAAGCCATTCAGAGTCTTTTTGGAATTGTGTAGCAAGTACACTACATAAATGCATAAATGAATAAATTAATAAATGAATGAATAAACAAACAAATAAATAAATATCTGTTTTGAGGAGACATGTCCTCTTTTTATGACATTTAAGTGCCCACCCTAAGCCAGTCCTGTTTCCCATACTCAGCTGTTTTTGAGTCGTCTTCAAAGACTTCCCGAGCTTCTTCATAGTTGCAAACTTCTTCTCTGCATTCACGCTCCAAGTTGTCTGGAACAATCAGCTCAAAATCCCAGTGGTTATAAAGAACCTTACGGCTCAAGAATTTGTTTGCAGAAGTGGCATCCAGGAACACTGGGAACAGGAACGAGCAGATATTATCCTGGAGTTTGGAGCAGGCATGAAGTGCTATGAACAATAACCCTTCGTTCTGAGAGAAAGGGTATAAGATCTAAAGCAATGCTTTTGAATTTGGGCAACTTTAGGATTCAAAAGTCAGAATTCCCTGCTGGCAGGGTCATTGCTGCATAATTCTAGGAATTGAAGTTCAAGCATCTGGAAGTTGCACAAGTTGCAAGCGTTGCAACAGCAGTGTTGAAGATGTGTATACTTCATCTCTCAGAATTCCTCAATTCTCACAAAAATCTGGAACTTGAAATCCATACATCTTTAAGGTGCCAAGATTGAGAAACATTGTTTATAATCTATACTGTTATATTGTAGACCTAGATGCCTGTTAAATAAAGAAGGCAAAAACCCAAGGACTACTAAAATATCTAAAAGGGAAATACCATTTAGCAGTCTTGGTGGTCTAGCACAGGGGTCCCCAACCCCCAGACTGTGGACCAGTATTGGGCCATGGCATGCCTGCAACTGGTCCGCACAAACAAGCAAAGCTCCATCCGTGAGATGCAGGCAAGACATAAAACCACACACCCTCCAGTGCGCGGAAAAATCTCTCTCCATGGGACTGGTCCCTGGCGCCCAAAAGGTTGGGGACCTCTGGTCTAGCAGGAAGACTTTATTTTCATCCAATTCCCTTTTACTCCCTAATAGAAGGAACATGAGCAGATGTAAAGAAATGCAGAATTTCAGAAGGACCAGCTATTCTGTTAAGTTACTATAAAAATGGGTAAACTTTGATTCGCTAGAAGTTACATTTCTTCCATGAAATGCTTCTCTATTTTTTTAGCAACCAAGTACCACAGTGACATGTGATATTTATGAAATTGATAAGTAACATTTATGAAATTGACAGGATTTACAGAATTTTTGAGATATTAAGTTTAAATAAAGTTTACGCATCAGTTTTGCAGTTTTCCTGCAAAAATATGACAGGAAACCACACCAGCATTTCTCAATGAATTGCCAATGAAATTTGGCTGCATAATTTCATGGAGGAAATGGAGGTAATCAGAAACTGTTTTTGAGAAAACATTTGTTGCAGGATCAGGAGCAGCCCTTTTACCCTTTCTCCTACTCTCCAGCCATTTTACTCTGCTGGAAAAGAGTTCCACCAGCCTGTCTCACAATCCTGAAGTCTGGAAGATAACACTCTCCTACCAGTACCAACAGTTCCAAAGTGAGGTTCCATTGTTGGAAGAGAACAACCTAGTACGAGGAAGAAGAGAGGATAGGCTGATGCCTGTTAGACTTTGCTACAAGTAGCAGTTATAAATCAAATAAATTTGGGGTATCCCCGTTCATATGTAAACAGACCAGAGACTTGGGGGAGTTTGAGAGAGAACCTTGTGCTAACTATTCTGCCTATAAGATTCTATTCCTTCCTCAATTATATTTCCAGATGATCCCATCAACACCATGAATAAGTCTTTGTTATTTACTTCCAGTGCCAATTCCAAGCCTTCCCTTTAGGAAAGAGCTTTGAACCACTCAAAAGCTTATTATTTGCATTTCCTCCTCATTCTGCATTCCCTGATGCATATGGAATGTGGTTCTGCAAGACTCAGAGAAGCATTAATTGCTGGTTATTTGTGAAGTAAATGGATCATTAGCATTGTACGGACAAGTGCAGACAGCCTCTTGTTGGTTTTAGCTACATTTCATGTTTAAAGCAGGAGAGAACAGATGATATATAGAAAATGGACAAAGATTAGCAAAAAAAAAATTTCTGTGAGGGACACATCCTCTCAGGATAACCTACAAGAATAAATAGGCTGGCTCTATAAGTAGTCTTTGTTTAGGAACTGAAATGGGAACCAGCAACACAGTAGTAAGGGAAGCAGTGCAGAATGAAATTGCGACTGTGCTTACAATCTTACTTTAGCTTTCCTTTGTTTTACAGATCTGCAAAGATTCTAAATGTGAAGATTGGTGGTAAAGTTACTTTTCTGCCACCATTATAACTGCAAGCAATCACTAAATGATGACAAATATAGTGATCCTTGTTTAACAATCATCCATTCAGTGACAGTTTGAACTCGTGACAGTGCTGAATGGTAATTACAACCAGTCTTCAAAGTTAAGGCACCTTGATGGTCATGTGATCACAATTTGTGACATTTTCTGCTCATTTCCTGGAAGCTGGCAGGAAGTCAGAAATTGCAGTCATGCGAAGTCCTTGCTTTTATGATATTCACTTAACTTCAGTAAATAGAATTGCTGAAACTACCATTGCTAAATGGCACAATCACATGGTGTCATGCTTTATGATTGCACCATTTAGTGATGAAAATTCTCGTTCCATTTACCATCATTAAGGGAAGACTACCTGCATTATTACATAAAATAAAGCAGTGACAAGCCAGGTAGCAGATTGAAAACTGGTACCTTCCTGATCCATGGTCCACCCATTTAATTTTGCCCAAATGCACTGCTTCACAAAGATGTTTAAATACATGCTCAAGGGAGATTGTCAGACTGGTGCCCAGGGATGCAACTGCTGCAATTTCCCAGTCGTGGCTCTGAGGTCCAATCAGAATGGCATTTATATAGCAATTCGAAAGGAAACGGCCAGGGAGTGCATCTTGCCCCAGACAGAAGATGCATGGGAAAGTATGCATGGGAAAGTATGTGTGATGGTGGCAAATGGTGTTCCCAGTTCAGGCAACCTTGGGCTGCTATGGTAGGCAGGTTGAAGCCATTCCAGATGCAAAAATGGATGAAGAAATCTGCCCCCCTTCCTCCTCCCTTCGCCAGTTTTCTGACTTCCTTTCCTCTTTGCCAAGCTGTTGTAGACAAGGGCAACCTACTCTTGCTAAAATTCTGAATCAATCTCGTAGACAGAGATTAGAAATTAGGACCAAACTCCCTATGCTAGCTATCAAGGGCTGCAGGCAATATCAGTTTGTGGGTTACACACCCTTCTCTTTAGAATATTGAATGGGGACCTAGGAATATTGGGCAATTTTGGACAACTAAAGAGATCATCACTAGGCAATTTTGAATGATGATCTCTTTAGTTAAACGACTCTACAGGATTTCTACTTAAGCATCAACATTCAGGAACAGCAGGTTTCCTTCCTTCCTTCCTTCCTTCCTTCCTTCCTTCCTTCCTTCCTTCCTTCCTTCCTTCCTTCCTTCCTTCCTATTTCTATTATAATCTTTGATAAAATTATTTTTTTTAAAAAGAAAGAGCAGTCATATCTAAATCTCTTTAAATAAAATTGGTTTAGCGAAGGTTCTTTTAGAGGACATTGATTCTGCCACTCATGACCTCTATTTTTCAGGAGCATTTGCATCTAGAAAACTGGATGTTGGCTTCTTATTACTTGGGAATGTTTGGAATTTAAAGTAGAAATCTGACTGTGCTTTTTTTGTTTGGTGCAGAACCTAAAGGAGACTGAAGGAAATTAATTGGAATTTCTGTGAATTTCAGGCAAAAAAGTGCTTTGAAGTGTTCACCCTATAAAGCACTTCTGTCTTTTCCTAGCACTGTATGGCCATCTTCTACAGCTATCATGCAATCCTGGGAAAAGAGGCATTTGATTTCAGGATCTGTAAGTAGGAGTTACTTGAATGTCTCCATACACTTCAAAACAAAACAAAATAACATTTTGTCTTTGAGTCCAAAGTACTTCCCTCATCCTTTATTGCCTATTGCTAACATCTTCTGATACTCCATATGAAGAACATGCAAGCATCCTTCTCCTTAAATCTGCCACTAAATTTGGATAACAAATCCCCAATTCCCAGTTACTTTTACCTTCTTCAATCTGTTGCTGGTCAGGTTGGCTATGGAGACAGGCGGCAAAACTAGGGACTAGAATTTTGAACAGGAAAAGAAGACATAAAGAGCTCCACATGGTGGATCCTGGAGAGAGAACAGGAGATAGTTGCCAAAGGCTGGATTAAAAGGCTGCTAAAATATAGCACTCCCCACCAATGTACACACTGATAAAAAGCCTCCCAGCCCTCAGTTTAGCTGGAACGCAGAGATAAATGTAACATTTGACCTAATCAATAAAGTGGTCAGTGCAAAGTCAGTTCAGATCTGAATCAAAAACAAACTATCCATAGAACATTGAGGAGTTAGCAAAGTTTTGGGCCTAGACTACCTAGAAAATTTTGGAAATAGAGGGCCTCTTCACTTAGATGATCTGTTAGTTTTTCTCAACCTCAGGAATTTTTAAGATGTGTGAACTTCAACTCCCAGACTTCTGCTGTCTAGAGAATTCTGGGAGTTGGAATCCACACAACTTAAGTTGCTGAAGCTGAGAAATTCTGATCTATTAGCTCTGGGGTATTAAAATAAAGGCAATCGCTAGGTGAAAGCAAAGAGTTTTATATCTCTATTGATTTGCTGGTCAACACAGATTTTCTTTTGGGTGTGCAAGACACATTGTGATTTCTGCAAAGCCCCTATTTACTGAAAGGCAAACAGGAGGTTGTCCTCCGGTCTATTTTCAACCATCCCAGACTTACAACTAAGTTGTAAGTAGATTTACAACTATTCATTTAGCAGCCATTCAAAGTTACGAAGTCATTGAAAAAAGTAACTTACAACTGGTCCTCACACTTATGACCATTGCAGCATCCCCATGGTCATGTGATCAAAATTTGGGCACGTGGCAAACGGCATGTCTTCATAATGGTTACAGCATCGTGGGATCATCTGATTGCCATTTGCAACCTTCCTAGCTGGCTTCTGAAAAGCAGAGTCAAGAAGGGAAGCCAGGTCTGCTGAACAACCACATGAGTCACATAATAGCTGCAGTGATTTGCTTAACAATCATAGCAAAAAGCTCATTAAATCAGGCACAGTTTACTTAATAACTGCCTTGCTTAGCAATTGAAATTCTAGTCTTAATTGTCATATGTTGAGGATTACCTGTAATTGGTCCCTCCCCCCCATTTTTCAAGGGAACCAAAGAATTGAGGCTATTGGTTCTTTATTTTTCAGAGCCTCAGAGATCTGGGTGAGACCTAAAGGAGTGCTTGTAACAAAAACAGATTGTGTTGATTAACAATGCTGCAGACAGAGAGGGCTTTGAGTTGAACAATTATAGATTTCACCTTTTAAAAATTAAATCAAACTTAAAAAATAAGGGTGTGCAAGACATGGAATATGATGGAAAAGAGACATTAATTGGCTGATTATATGCCCTCAAGACATTTTAAACTCCTAGTAACCACATGAAGTTCATGTAGCATGCCCTTGTTTGTGTTATGCATGAATCTGGCTAAACCAATCTTTTCCTGCTTCCTAGGTGAGAAAAGTAGGAATTTTTTTTCTGTCTAGTTGTGGGAGGACAGTACCCCCCCCAGAAAGAAATATTTGGGTGGATATTAAAAAGGCAGAATATATTTCCCCAAAGGATCCTAGACAGAAAAGGTGGCCCAGTTTTTCTTAATAGTCCCAAGCAGAAATTCAGCAGAAACTAGCTCTGTAGAAATGTAGATTTGGTGATTCATTCAGGAAGACTAGGGCCAGGAAGCTTAGAGCTGATGAGATTAGAAAGACAAAGACTCATAAAATCTACATCCCCTGCCCAAACTTTAAAGACATGACCTTTAGGCAGTGGTGGGATTCAGATATGTGAACAACCAGTTCTCTGTGTGGATACCGCTTCTGGAAGTCCATTGTGGGCTTAGGCAACAAAAAATTAGCTACCAGTTCTATCGAACTGGTGCGAACTGGCTGAATCCCACCACTGCCTTTAGGACATAATAGGATTAACCCACCACCATCAGAATACCAAAAGGGCACACTGAACCTCAGGTCAAAGTTCATGCTACAGGAACAACTCCAAACACAAAACCCAAAAAGGTATAAAAACCCACCACTCCCAACAACATGTAGTCAGCTTTCCCAGAGCCACATTTCTGTCTGGCTCTGCTCTTCAATAAACTACAACTTTATTTTTAAAGCAGTCTCCATTTTGCTTATTCCCGGCTTGGACTGGATCCTGATGAAGATTTTTCTTTCAACAAGCTGAAAGAACAATTGCTACTTAACAAGGGAGCAATTATTGTATTTTTAATTTGCTAAGATTCCATAAAGAGAACAGGATGAAAAATGAAGACTCCAGGTGATTAAAAAGCATTGCAAGCGTCCACAACCAGATAATTAGCAGAACTTGCACTTTGTTTATGTGCTTGTTTTTTATTTTTAAAAAATAACATTCCCATAGAGCTGTAATGCATTGCAATTTAGCAGATAGCCTGGCCTGTTGCTATTCTTCTAAAAAAAAGTTGATCAGTGTGGTGCTCAGCATTATCATCTACTAATTGCTATGAAAGCATGTTCAAAAGCTACTAACAATATTTATGTAAGAAAAGACTTATCAACTAAATTAATTGATTCTGATACACAAGGAAGATATGTTATTATTGAGTTAGTATTACAAGACAAGAAATTTCTTATTATTGGATTATACGCCCCCAATCAACAACAAAAACAGTTTTGTAAGTTTTTACATTAGAAGCTAACTCGATTGGATTATAAATCTGTTATTATGTATACGTTGAGAGCTTCGGATGATTTGGTTGTGACTTTATCTCAACTGACAGATTCGGTAAGGGATTTGGTGGAAATCGTAATCCATTATGGGAAAGTTTCTGGTTTTAAGGTAAATAACAATAAGACTAAAATATTACTGAAAAAGATGTCTAGGAAGGAAAAGGATATGTTAGCTAAATTAACAGGTTTTGAAATAGTGAAAAAGGTTAAATATCTGGGAGTATATATTATAGCTTCTAATGTTAAATTATACAAAAATAATTATGAGACATTATGGGTAAAAGTGCAAAAGGATTTAAATGATTGGAAAAAATTACAATTATCTTTGTTGGGGAGAATCTCAGCGGTTAAAATGAATGTTCTTCCAAAGTTTCTTTTTTTGTTTCAAATGATACCTATTTTGAAAAAAGATGCCAATTTGGATGAATGGCAGAAGGGTATTAATAAATTTATCTGGGCGGGCAAGAAACCAAGAGTTAAGTTCAAGATTATACAAGATGTACAGGAAAGAGGCGGACTTAAGGCACCTAATTTGAAATTATATTATGATGCGGTGGCTTTAACATTGATTAGTGATTGGCTTAATTTAACAAATATAAATATACTTTCTCTTGAGGGATGGGATTTATATGGATAGCATGCATATTTAATTTATGATAAAAAAGTAGATCAGGTTTTTAAATCCCATATTTTAAGAAGTGCTTTATTGCGTGTCTGGAAGAAGTATTATTATAGGTTAAATTATAAAATACCAATTTGGGGGATTCCTGGACATGCGATAGAGGGGGTACCCAGGGGTGTGAACTTGGATAGGATTTCTTATAAGGAATTACTTAGATTGGTAGGGAGTGATTGGCAATTAAAATTGTTAGTTGAGTTAAAGCAAGAAAATATGGTACAATCTTGGTTTCAGTATAATCAATTGTTGGTTAGGTGGAAGTTAGATCAAAAGGTTGGTATTACTTTAATGGATGAGAATTTGGTAAAACAGATTAAAGATCAAAATTGAGCACATATAAAGAGAATTTATAATGTTTTAATAGAACTGGATTCAGAAACGGAATTAGTTAAAGATTGTATGGTAAAGTGGGCTCAAAATATTCAAGAACCGATTCTATTGGATACATGGGAGATAATTTGGGTTAGAAATGTAAAATTTACCCAGGCACAAAATTTAAGAGAAAATTTTTATAAAATGTTTTATAGATGGCATCTGGATCCTAAAAAGTTGTCTTGTATGTATCCTAATTTACAGCCCAAATGTTGGAGGTGTGGTAATTTGGAAGCCACTTATTTTCATATATGATGGACTTGTAGAAATATAAAAACCTTTTGGATTAAGATCTGGTGGAACATTGAACAGATTTTTAAGAGAAAGATAAAGTTTACCCCACAATTATTTTTATTGGGTGTTATTACAGATTGTGATGTTAAAGAAATTAATTTGATGTTGAATTTGATAACAGCTGCAAGGTTATTAGTAGGGCAATATTGGAAGAAGGATTGCTTGCCTACTATAGAAGAATGGACGATTAAAGTGTCAAATTTAGCAGAAATGGCTAAGATTTCTGCTTATTTGAAGGATCATTCACAAGAAAGATACATTTCGGTCTGGAGAAGATGGATAAATTATATTCAGAATAAATATGGGACTAAAAAGTTTCATTTAGCTTACGAGTGAATTTTAGAGTATTATTATGAAATTATTATTATATTTAGTATTAGTATTGTTTAACTATTTGGGGACTGTATTGTTTAATAATTAGGATATTAATTTGTTTATGTTCTCATTATTATGTTCACTTTTAATTTGCTTATATTTATGTTAAAGGGGAGTTAAAGTGCATTATGGATTTGGTTATTTATATAGTTGGTAATGTTAGTTAGATTATGATTATCATATTTGTAACCCTGTATTCAGCTCTGGGAAGTGGGGGAGAGAGGGGGGGTGTTGGGTAGGTTAATATTGTAATTTCTATAAAACTTTTTAATAATAAAAAAAAGCTACTAACATTAGGTATAGTTTTAGGCTGGGATAGTTTTTAATATAGAGAGATGTGGATATATAATTTTATTAAGAATTTTGATCACAATAAAATTCAATACGCTAAACTTAAAGAAAAAAATAATAGAAATAAAGGCTAAATGCAAAAGGAAAAAGGAAAAGAAAGAAAAAAAAGAATGTGTCAACATATATATATATATATATATATATATATATATATATATAGGTCTTTGGTTGTTCGGGTTTTCTCCCGCGTAAAATTGGAAGTGTCTTGGCAACGTTTCGACGAAGTCACATTCGTCATCTTCAGGCTGGTGTTTTTAGCTTCTTGCTTTGAGCAGCAATGTGTGGTTTTAGCTGTTTCTTCCTTTTAACTGCCAGTGAGGGTATGAACTGATTGGATGGGAGCTTGGCTGTGTTCTGATTGGGTGGAGGTGTGTTCTGAATGGTTAGGGGCTTGGCTGTGCTCTGATTGGCTGGGGGAGTGTTCTGTTTGGTTGTGCTCAGGTTAGTCTGAGTTGCAGAGGGGTTTAAGATTTTGGGGTTAGGGAGTCGTTTGTCAATAAGGGCAGGTTTCCAAATGGCTGGTAGGCGGGAGGTATCATCTCGCTTGTTCATGCTGTGTGGGCGTTTTTCTATCTCGATGGCTTCTCTGATTATTCTGTTATTAAAATGTTCACTTTTGGCAATGGTTCTGGTATTTTTAAAGTCAATTTCATGTCCTGTGGCTTTAAGGTGTTGGACCAGGGAAGATGTTGGTTCCTCTTTTTTGACTGAGTTCTTATGTTCTTCAATGCGTGCACTTATTCTTCTGTTGGTTTGTCCGATGTATGTGGTGGGACAAGTGGTGCATGGGATTTCGTATACTCCTTGATTTTCTAATTCAATTTTATCTTTGGGGTTTCTAAGGATGGTGGATATTTTTCTGTTTGTGCAGAATGCTGTTTTGATGTTGTGTTTATGGAGGATCTTACTGATTCTGTCTGTGGTGCCTTTTATGTATGGGAGGAGGGCTTTGCCGTTTTCTTGTTCTTTGTCTTGGATTTTTGGTGGGGGTTTCTTTTTGGATTAGGTTTGTAATCTTATTTCTATGGAATCCATTGGATGTTAGTACATTGGTGAGAGTGTGTAGTTCGGGTTTTAGGTGTTGTTCGTCAGCTAAGCGTTTTGTTCTGGAGATGAGTGTCTTGGCTACAGAGTTGATCTGTGCTGGGTGGTGGTGTGAGAGAGCGTGCAGATAGCGGTTTGTGTGTGTTTTCTTCTGGTAGATGGTGTGTCCTAGGGAGCCATTGGATTTCTTGTAGACTAAGACATCCAGGAAGGGAAGTTGGTTGTTAGCTTCTGTTTCCATGGTGAACTGTATTTTGGGGTGTAGGCTGTTGAGGTGTGTGAGGAAGTTGTCCAGTTTTTCTTTCCCATGTGGCCAGATTATGAAGGTGTCGTCTACATATCTGAGCCAGAGTTTGGGTTTGTGATCCGATTTTTCTAGAGCTTGGGTTTCAAAGTGTTCCATGTAGAGGTTGGCAATGACAGGTGAGAGGGGTGATCCCATGGGTGCTCCTTCTGTTTGTTTGTATTTTTGTCCATTATAGATGAAGTATGTGTTGGATAGGCAGTGGTTGGTCAGATCTAAGATGTGTTTGGGGGGGTTATATTTGTTTTGAATAGCTGTCAAGGCTTCTTTGATAGGCACTTGGGTGAAGAGGGATATGACATCGAAGCTCACTAGTAGGTCGCTGGGCTGTAAGCTTTGTTTCTTTATGATCTCTATAAACTGGAATGAGTTTTTTACGTGTGAGGTGATGGATTCTGCATAGGGCTGTAGTTGTTTGGCGAGAAATTTGGCTAGGTTTTGTAGAGGTGAGCCTATGGAGCTGACTATAGGTCTGAGTGGGGTTCCTTCTTTGTGTATCTTGGGGAGACCATAGAGTTTGGGGCATCTGGATGATTTCTCTCTGGGAATGATTCTTTGCTGGATCTCTTCGCTAATGGGGGAGGCTTTTATCTTGGTTCTGGTGGTTTTTTCCAGGTAGGTGGTGGGATCTGTATTTAGGGGTTTGTATGTGGAGTCTTGGAGTAGGTTGGTTAATTTGGTTTGGTAGTCAGATGTGTT